ATATTTTGAAGGAGTTGTCTATTTGGTTTAAATTCTTTATTTGAAATCTGGTACCATCGAATTAAAGGAATAAATTCATTAATTGCACCTTTTAATTTAATAAAGTCATCCCTTTCCCAGGTATCTATGTTTTTTTCTTGAGTAGTAGTAGGAAGTTGAGCAATTCCCCATTGAATCAAGTAACTTAAAATATTAGATTCGCTTAATTTTCCTAGATCATCACGTTTTAATATGAGGGTTAGAATAGATGAATCTAGCTGAGTAAATCTGGGATGTTCAAATACCATATTTGGATAAGCACATATAAGTTGAAGGCATGATCCATACAATGTCTCGAATATATTATTATATTGAAAAATTATTTGTAATGTTTTAATTGCATCATTTCGGATTATTTTTTCCAAATTTTCGTATACATAAGAAAATAATTTTCTATTAATTCCTTCATTAAGAAGTAGTAATCTATCGGTTTCCACTAAAAATTCCAAAATCTCAACACCACTTAATTCATCTAAAGAAATCTCTGTAGTATATATGTACCTTTTAAAATAAATCAGTACAATTAATAATTATTGACAAGGATATAAAAATATTATTAATATATAGATACGTACTTCAAAACAGCTTTAAATGTATTTATTGACACATCTTTCATTTCAATAATGAAAGATTTTCCTTCCTTCCTAGCCCATCTACTGGAAAGAGCACTATCAAAAAAGGTAGAGCGCGCTCTTAAAATAAGTGAGTGTGCATAAAGCTCTTTTAAATCTTCTCCTTGGTCAAAGCGAATAATTACATCGGAATTATGATCATCTTGAAGAAGTTTTTTATAATGTGATGCAAGTTCTTTGGAATTTTTCTTCATTGTTTTAATTTCGATCCTAACTTTTTTTTTAAAAAATTATAATATTGTATTCAGCTTAATACGTACGTACGTACGTATATTGTTGACGTATTTTATATAATTATATATAAATACATAAATGGAAATAATGTGCATTATGTACACTGTTACGTTCGATTGTTAAAACCTTATTTCAGATACCTATTTAGGTAATTTTATAATAAATTACATTATTATCGTTACATTCAATTTAAGAGAACATAACATACTATAGCCACATTGCCCATTTTATTCAAAGAAAAAATTCATATGGTTATTTAATATAGTTATGCAAACGAGACAAATTGAATGCATGCCTACGTGAACAAACGAGAATTTCGGGTCCTCTGAATGATCTGCCAATTACATATACGCTGTTAAAAGTTTGGCTCTTATTGATTAATTTGGAGAGGTTTAACTGTATCATAGTTAGACGATATATAATTCAGAAATTTTACGCAATAAACCAATAATATCTTCATGATTAGCTTCGATCACTTTCGTTTCCAACTTATTTATTACATTATTAGTAAATTATTTTCCAATTTTATTTGTTACAGTCAAACCCCCTAAATGCAATCCCCTCCTAAATGCATGTCTTCTCTTGGGTACAACTATTATTACGCTTATAATCCCTAAATGCAATATCTCTCTAAGTGCACGTTTGGCTAATTTTTGCATAAGGTTCTGTCAAATTACATTTAAAGAGATCTTACCCTTACCATATTTGCAATTTGAGACTTGCAACTTTCGAGTATTATATAAAGATAAATTCTTGTAAAAAAAATTTCTTTGAATTTCACTTATCTTTAGAGTATACACATAGAGTATACTACTAATCTTCTGCATTTTATTTTTAACATGTACGACTGAATATAAATATTTATTAATCGGAAAATTCTAAATAGAAATAATTTGTGAAACATAAATAAACGCCTAAAATTATATTTGAAGACAAAGCGATACTCGAGATTTATAATGTATTTGTATCTGAAGACATGCGCTATTCGAGATGTGTTATGAATAGTGTAACGCAAATTAAATATCTTACATACTGTACGTACGCATATACATACATTTGCATATTCTGACCCAATTCAAAAATTAAAAATATTAGACGATGGTCGTTTATTCTTTCAAAAATATCTTCCAAAACTAACTTTTAAGAAAAATGCCGAAATTAATTGATGAACCATATAAGCCAATATATTGGGTTGTATGTGGTTTAAAAATCATATTTCATTTGACTTTTATAATTCTCTGGATATATCAAGCCATATATAATCCATTTAAAGAGACATTTAATGATTATAATCGATTATTAGTTGAAGGAATAATTATGGCAGCTTTATTCGCACTATCTATAATATGTTTTTTTATCGAATTATATTTTTTTTACATTTTTAAAAGACAAGGTACAATCCTTAATCTACATATATGCATAAACTCATTAATATCCCCCATTTATTTTAGTTCTTCTTTAGCTTTAACTATTTTAATTAGTAGTAATGAACAAATTTGGGATTTATATTCTATAATGACTGTGTCATTATGGGCAATATCAGCGCTCACACTAATTCAGGATATTACACTTATACAAAAGGATATTAATTGCATTTTTTTTAAATTAGTAAAGGAAGTGTTTATTGGAATTTATTTGACAATTTATATTATTCGATTTATAAAATTCCTAAATTACAATTTTAATAGTGGTAGTACCGATTACTTTAAAAATCTTTTAATTTCTTTTATTATTGGGTTCCTTAATTTAGCGTATGATGTAACTTATGTGATCAAAAGAAAAGGAAGAGGAGGAAATGAGAATAATATTATTGATATGATTATTCCCATAACATTTGCGATGGTTTATTTTGGTGTTTTTTTTACAAATACTTTTTTTTTATTGAGACAAATTTATACTATTATCGATGTCTTAGTTATAATTATTATGACTTGTTATTTTGCAGAAATTGTATCCGTGATTAATAAAGAAAGAATCAGTCAAAGACTTATGGATTGGAGGTAAACTTTTAATTAGTAGGAAATTGAATGAATTAACTAAGTGAGTTACCATTTTCGATGAACGAATCAATCCATCTTTTTTCTTCAAAAATTTACCATTAATAAAGGTTATTCAAGCATAACCATTACATTTTTTATAATCAAACATACTAAACAATAAATTGTCAACAAATTTCTACCTAATCAAAAAAAAAATAACCTTTAAAACAAATAATCAATACATCAATGTGAATGTAAGAGTGTGTTCAAATATTTAATAATAGTGATGTTTGAGCATTATCATGATCATTAATTAATTGATTGATTGATTAAGATGCTTGTGAACACCCTTGGATGTTGAGTATTTTTGGTCTGTATTTCGTTAAAGCTCTAGATGCAGACATTTGAAAGGTCAAAGGTAGCTACCTCTTCACGTCACCTACACGTCATATAAAATGCAACTCTAGCTAATGTCATTTTTTTATTAGTGGAACGTTACATTCGTAAACATAAATTAGTACTCCAGACATTGATTTACATCAACTATACAGAAAACGTCTCCCTGAATGTTGGATAACAACAAATATTTACAAAATTAATACAGATTGTAATCAGATATGCATACGTATAAACAATCTATAACTACATAA